TAAAAATTCGGGTATAATCCAGTACTCGCTTAAAAATAAATGTATGGGTGTGAAAATATGATAATAAGAGAAGTATCAAACTAAACTAGTGTTTACTCCTAAATTCACAGGATTTTTTTGTCTTTGCCTGTCCTGTCCTGGCTTGTCCTGTTTTTTCTTTCTTTCTTTCTTTTTTGAATTAGAAGTAATTTTTAATAATTTTCCTTTTTCCGCAAATTTTTATCATAAAAATTAAATTTGCATTTTTGAGTTATATTATTGACTCAAATTTCTGTTTTCTCAAAATACTCCTAGTTCAATATAATATGATTTCATTTTGAATATTAGAATAATGACCGGATCTCTAGCGACAGTCGTAACGTGAATGAGGGAAAAAAAATAACAGTGAAAGGATTATAATATACTTATGTTATTGTCCGTACTCTTGCGGAGATTTCTTCATGGTTTTACTTAAAAGACGTACATCACATTTTTGAGTGTTGTCTTTTCTAGCACATACGTGGTAAAAGAAAATAAAATGAAATTTTGCTTCTCTTATTCAACACATGACATTTTTCTTAAGCTGAAAGCAAGAGTAGGCTATATGGAAATAAGGGTTTGGCATTCAAGGAAAACGAAAAAAAGTTATCCCCTTATAGTTCTTCGTGTATTATACGGTTTGCGAACTAATAGGAAAACTTATGCGTGGTATGCCTACCATGCGACCTTTTACTAGTAATTGTGGGATTTATACAGTATTGCTTTTCTTGAAGTTACTCTAATTTCTAGTAAATTGAACTGCATTTATTGATGCACCAATCAAATCAATTTTCGTGATCTGATGGCTTAAATTACAGATTACCCCCCCCAAAAAAAAATTCACAGTAACTCTTTTTAAAAGCAACAAATATAAAAAAATATATACAGTATATTAACATCACTAAATTCTTCGTAAATAAATTGATTTTATAGTTATTACTTGTTTGAATACCGGTAAGGTACTTTCCGAATCGGAATCTCAACGTCGCCCGACAAAGAATTTTGAGTCCTCATGAACCGAGTATTTGTTCAATACTTTAATGCTCTTAATGACAATCATAAATTCTTTGATATGCATAGTAATTAAAATAAATTGCTATGCTCGGACGTCGTAAAGAAAACATGATGATAGGGCGCCTTTTTATCCGATATCGTCGAGAGTTTCAGAGGAGTACATACGATGAGCGGATAGGTACTTTTAAACGTAATAACTCTAATGTAAATAAATCTATTTCTAATCTTTGTTCGTTAAAACGCACAATTTTACTATTAGCGAAGCTAACGAGGTTACTTCTAACGAATCCAACTTTTTCGGATCAATTATTAACCGATGAACGTTGGCGTTTCCTCATCCTTAAATACGGTGGGGAACCGCTCTTTGTCCACATCCTCGAACAACATACTGCTAATAAGAATGCACAGTACATTCTAAAGTTACTAGGAAAATTGAGAATATCAAATTCTCTACCCCATGCCGTTGCGGTGTTGATGGGTCGAAATATAGCTTGGAAGCGACTGCTGCTTTCTCTTGATGATTCAACTCACGATGTATCATACGTGGCTTCCACCGCAATAAAAATCAAGTGGAAGAATGAACGGGACGTCATTCCTTTCAAGGATTTGGTCAATTTATCATGCGAATTGCCGTCCATAAAAAGTGTCATGGAGTCGGTGGCAAATGTCTTGGTTCGTGAGATCTTTGAAGGCACACAAGATGGTAATTAACATCCATTGTGCACTATTCTTATTTTCACAGAATTTCTAACATTCAAGTTTTTACAACCTTCAAAGAATTGTTTCCCGATTGTATTAACTGGATTCTAAAAGATCTTGTTGAAATTTTGGGAAAAAGAAATATTTATCTAGAACAACTGTTTACGAAATCTGTCGAATCCTGTTCGCAATCTTTTGGTCGATATGCAGGTCTCTTAACGAATTCGGTTCACTCTTTCTTGTCCATTGGATTTCAATTCAATCGAGAACATGTTGAATACATCCATTCTTCTGTGAACGACGATCTCGTATTGCTTTTCTTTAAGTTTATTGAAGATTTTTTTGCCAAAAATCGAAACGGAGTTGGTTTGACTTTAATACAAGGATGGAAAGTGCAATTGAAACACCTATGTCGACAAGTTCTAAATCAGAATTCCCACTTTAACCTAACATTCGTGAGGAAATTGGTATCGTTTTGCGATGATCACAACATTGACATCGCATCTTTGCACTGAACGTCCATACCATGGTGCTTTTTCGGTACTTTCTTCGGGTCTCTTGTTTTTCTTTTATTACGGTTGCTCTGCTTGTTCGCTTGGTGTATATTATCACAAATAAGCTCTCGTTTTTCTGTGATTATTTTTGCATTTTTAAG